GGTAATCATGGATCACAACCCACTAATTAAAAAGGAATATAATTAAATTTAAATGTAACTCTATATGTCTCACTCACTTGCATATATTGAATTGAATGAGCAACTAAAAGATGATCAAATTCAAATTAAGAATCAATAGAAGTACCCGCCCGCCAGAAAAAATATTGAAAAGAATCAGTCACTCCACAAGGAAATGTCACCAGTATTATTCCCCCAGTCGTCGTCATCATATTCGTTCCAATTAAAACCCTTTTGCAGGGATGGTGGAGTGAGGATCAAACCCTCAGCCATGCTATCAATCAACCCCGGCATGTTAAACAACTCCTCCTCATCCAAATACACAACTTTTCCCATCTCTTCTTCTTCTACCTTCTCCAACTTCAAAGAAGAAGAGGAAGAGGCTTTAACTTTAACCTCCAAGAATGCCTCGGCAGCCTCTAAGGCAGCACATTGTATGTCCTTTACGGTATAAGCATTCGACTCGAAGCGCGGCAAAGCACTTGCCTCGTTAGGAAAGTTGAGTGAAGCAGACTCACCCTTGAGAGCCAAGGCTGCAACATCATAAGCCCTAGCAGCCATGTCAGGGCTAGTGAAAGTTCCGAGCCATATCCGCGATTTCTTGTGATCCGGTTGCCTCAGCTCACACACCCACTTCCCACACCTTTGCCTCACACCTTTGAAAACTGGGTGCCTAGTCTCTGTGAACTTCTTCCTCCCTGCCTTTCTCTTTTTAACCACCCCCATACTAGTTTGCATTAGGGTTGGAACAGAAATAATCGAAGTTGAAGACGACCGATCATCGGTTAAATCTGCCATTGTTAATGAAGAAGTATCTAGCTAGGGTTTGCAAATGAGGGATATTGATAGTTATAGAAGAAGAAAGAAAGCTATTGAAGGTGACCAATGTTGCATGCAAGTATTTTAAACGTTGTTGAATGTTATTTTGTGGCTTGAGCTCCAAGGTGTATTTGAAAAATATTAAACGTGGAAATGCTGGGGGTTCCAGAAATATAAAACCCCACGTGGGAGAGAAAGGCTCTAAAGTGCTTTATGTTTTATATACTATCTACTTTGATTTGTATTTTGAAGGGTGGAGACTGGACTGGATAGGGGACCATTTATCTGATGCGCAAGTCAAAGATGGTAGGTTACCATGGCCATTTCATAATGTTTATTTATTATTTTCTTGAAGTATATTTAGCTTTTCGACAAGAGATTTTATGATTTATTCGAAACAACTAATGTCATCAATTATTGGAAATATCAGCAGGTAATTTTCAGTATACTTAAAACGCAGTCATCTTTATCATTCAACTTTATAACATGTGATTAATTTGTATTAAAATATTTTGAAATATGACATATCAATTATGTCATTCATTCTTATTATAACGCTTGAAATAGAATACCACGTGACTTTGCGTTTTTCGTATATATAAAAATTTCTCCATATCAACTATGTCCTCACTTGTATTACAACACATGGAATGATTCCCAATGTATGCAAAGTATTTTTTTTAATGCAACAATATAGAAATAAATTTATCGAACTTGTGATTCACGATTTTCAACTTTTAACTTCTGATTTTATGTGAAAATAAATGTACTAAATCATAGTAAGTAAAAATATATTCTCCGTTTGTAGACTGTTCCATATAGAAATATTAAGGAAACTCTTTCAAAGTGAGATTTTTTATGGATTATCTACCATCTCACAATTTAACCTAATTATCTTGCTAACATTATGAAACAATGTACCAAAAATATGAGATGACAACATATCTATAAAAGGTTTCACTTTAAAGAAAGATTCATTAACATTCTCGTTCCATATATTTATATTTTAGGATTTTTGTAGAATAAGATCCCCATTAAACTATGAGAGGTTGAGGACGGTGGTGCGTCCAATCATTCACCGGTACTGAGTTTTGTATACATTATTTGTGGAATTTGGCAGTGCGCTACTGGAAGTCAGATTTTGGACCATTTGGAAAAATAATGAAATGTTGGTCCTGCTCGGCGTGACTTGTCCCACAAAAGATCATGTGCTTAAATTGTATTCCATTTAAAATAATGACACGTGTATCAGTACTGAAAAAAATTGATTCCGTTCCCAACTAGTCGTTCCACACGTGGGAGAAAGGTGAACAGGTGCCTTATGTTTCATAGTTATTTGTTGATTTTATCTTTTCGGATTTGTAAGAAGCTGACAATTTTTTCCACGAAATTTAATTTTGATTAATTACCCTCCTAACTTTTGTTATTGGCCAATATCGTTCTTGAACACTAATTTAGCTTATTAACCATCTAAACTTTTATCCGTAATGTAGACATCATATTGTATTTTTCTTCTTCTCTTCCCCTATTTCACTCTGTATTTTTTTTGTTTGAATTTTATCCCTAATGTGAACAACTATGAATCTTCTCCATGGTCTTGCTTTTTTCAGCTACATTCAGGGGGTAATTCCCTAAAATAAAAGTTTAGAGGGGAAATTGGTCCATTAAAAGTTTAGAGAGGTAATCAACTAAATTAAAGTCTAGAGAGGAAATTGGCCAATTATAATATCTCAGAGAACCTCTCCGGACCGGAGACTAACTATGACTCAACGTTGAAATGGCTTATGTTTGCATCAAAAAACCTCTCTCGACCGGTATTGGAACTTCTCTTTATCTGTTTGTGGTTGCTTTGGAATGCCAGAAATTCTTTCTACTTTGATAGTATAAATTCTGATTGTGAAAGTTTGAAAAACTTGGCGAGGAACTCTGCGGCAGAGGTGTCAAACGCTACCCATATGAGTACTTCATCGCCAGAACATCGAATCAATTCGTGGTTCCCCCTACGGTGGGTTTTTTCAAATTAAATGTTGATGGTGGGGTGGATGTGATGAATGGATGTTGTGGAATTGGAGCAATTGTTCGTGGGTCTAATGGTGATCTTGTATGTGTGTTGTTTATGTATGCTTCTTCTCTGATTTCAATCCTTACTTTAGAGCTTCGTGCCATCAAGAAAGTATTGGAATTGGCCCTGAACTTTGGTTGTGTTCCGTTGATAGTGGAATCAGATTCATTGAGGTTTGTCCAATTAACTAACCAAGATAAGGAGTGCTTGGCTGCTGATGGTGCATATGTCAATAGCATTTGAGCTTTTTTGCGTGTGAACCAGGTGTTCATGAACTATGTTTCAAGAGATGCTAATGGGATTGCACATCATCTAGCCCAATTCAACCTACAATGTCATGAGTTATCAATGTGGGTGGATACTGGTCCGTTGTGGCTTATGGACCTTAGCCACTCCGAGTCTGTGGTGAAGGTGGTCTAAGTTTAATATGCATGTGGGGCCTCTTTTCCTTCGTTGAGCTTTTTTCCCACTGGGTTTTGTTCGTCAAGGCTTTTTAGAGGCCATTGATTTGTTTTTCATATGCGTGTCTATGTATATCATGAATAATGGAATTCTCTTTTACTTTAAAAAAAATTCAGAGAGGCAATCGGCTAAATTAAATTCTAGAGAGAAAATTGGCCAATTATAACAATTCAGAGGGAGTAATCAATTTAAATTAAAATTCATAAAAAAAAATTAACAACTATTTACAAGTTCAGGTGAAAATCAACTAACACCTCTATATTTTACATACGTTCTAGTTTTTTGAAGAAGAGTTTGATTTGTATCTTTAGCCGACTGGTCCAACCGGCCGTTTTGGTCCGTTATTTATCCTACCCATGTTATAAGTGACAGAAGCAAGAGATATGGGCCTTGAAATGCTAACAACAAACCTAACCAGGCTAACACCAACCCAGAGGACCTATGGTGTTTTCAAAAAACTTACGAAGCCTATGGGGCATATGAGAAGAGACTTATGAAACGAGGAATTATAACAACGATACTCTACTCTAAACTCGTATAAATATTCATGAAAAGAAATTCGAACTTAGATGCTAAGCAAAAATGTGTATGCAAAGGAGGTTGCTATGTAGTTCACATCTAGTCAATAATTAGTTGAATGGATGTGAATATCTAGCCATTCGAAATTGATCCGCTTCCGTTTCTACTTTCTGTTTTTCTACTTCCACCTCCTTGATGTTCCATATGAAAATGTTTGGCTCTTTAAATGTAATGACATGTTTTAAAAATAAAAAATAAAACTTTATTTTAATGAGATGTTTTCAGAACATATATATATATATATAATTGTCATCGATAACTAAGGACAAATTACTTTTTACATGTAAGGAGTCAAACAGTGTCCACTTAATAATATGATTGTTTTGTAGCTATGATCTTGGTCAATAATAGAGCCGAGTAGACAGTCCTATAACTACCACAATAGTAATTAGTTTTGCGTACTAATAGAGTACACGTGACATGAGTAGAAATAAGAAGATTGAAATAAGAAGATAAGTGAAAATGTTGCAGCACTCCGAGTACCAGTTAGTCACATACTACAATACATTGAACTAATAAAGGGTTCAATAATGTCAATTATTGCAAAAAGACAAGATTAACATATCATTATCCCAACTTAGTTTTATCCAATGTAAGCAAAAACCAAAAAGAAGAACGACAAAGCTTATCAATTTGTGTCAAGTGTCTCGAGTCCTTAGCTTTATTCGTTTGTCAAGACACTCTTCAACTCAATTGCTTGGCTTCCTTGCCAAAGAATATTGGTTTGGTAGAGTGTAGGTTTCCACTTTATTGGATCCTTGACACTTTTTGAGTCTTTCTCGTTTTATCATACTTTGATGTACTAAAGTTTTATGCTTTTAAACATATTCTCGTTGTTTTTGTGCAAAAAGGGTAATGATTTTCACGCACTTTTTCCTTTAGACACTATTCTGGTTGTTTTTTGTGCAAAAAGAGTAATGATTTCCACGCATCATTTCTTCTTCTATTCTACTCTCATTGTTTATGTGCATTGATTCTTAAATGAGTTGTTCAATTCAAAAGTTATAACAAAAGTGAAAGAGTGCCGAGAAAAGAAGAACGGAGATTACAAATGCTAAACTGATAAAATTTAGGAAATAATATGGGTATTTAAAAGGGCCAAGAATTGTACATGCCATGTCTAAATACGTACGGATACATACATACATCGGTGCCCCTCAACTACATACATGATCCATATACATTGATAATACCATGTCACCCACCTAACCCCAAGTTCCTCTAATTACTTCCTCAGGCATGTTACTATCTTATGCCTATTTCCTGCTTCACCGTGCATGCCAGACTATCTCCAAGTGATCATATTTTGATTTGGAAACAAAAATTTAAAACGTTATGCCAAATCTCTTTGGAATGGTCCCCTTAACATCAAGCCTTTCCCGGTTGATTAATTTTCGAGTTAATCAAACTAGTTCAATTGCCATTTCCTCCACCAGTAGGCTAAAGATGGCAAGTTCAATCTCCATTGCAGTCTCTCCCACTTGATCTTGACTTTTCTTCCACTCGTCGAGCTCCTTTCGAAAGTCTTGTTCCACCATCATGTCAATGGTGTTCGACTCCACCTCTTTCCAGGACTCGAATCTCTTGCAGACCCGTCTCACCACCTCTTCCCTTCTGTTGGAAGAATCATCGTCTCTCTGCTCCTCGACAATGAGATCCATGGCCAATATCTGCACATCCTCGGGGATTCTTTTGTTACAAGGAAAGTTTAATTTGGAAAGTACTTCTCTGAGAAGCCCATCAAGAGTTTCTTCACTGCTGCTATCTGATGTTTCAGACTCATCTTCTTCACATTCATCGTCATCATCATCTTCTTCTAGCATTCTTTTCTCAAGTTCAATTGGATCTAACCCCGCCAATTGCTCAAATCTACGAAGCTTCTGCAGAAGGTGATGCTTTGTTCCTGCAAATTCAATGCAGGAAATACCAAATTAGTTACTTGTTTGAAAATTTTAAAAGTGCTATTAGGCTTGTCCATACACTCAAAAATAACCTATTACGTTAATTACCACATATAGGAACCAACATTTGTTCCTGTGATGGGTAAATAAAATAAAGGCGCATATAAAAACACATGCATACTTCCAACTTCTATTAATGTGCAGTTCTAATTTCGAAACTTTGAACTGAACCTCTCCTACTCTCATGTCCTATATACAGAACTTCATTTAGTTGTAATGATGCCGAGGAAAAACAGAGCGGGGGGAGGGAACAACTCTCGTGCCTCCAACGGGTTCCACCACAAAACAGGAAGAAAAAAAATGCAGAAACTAGATTAATGATTGCCATATTTTGAAGCAGGGGAATCAATGAGCCTATAAATGAAAAACAAGGGTCTGATCAAAACCGAAAACCACCAAAAACTTTCAAAACAAAGTCACAAATTTGAAATGAACAACTAGGGTTGAACTAACATACGCACATTGAAATCACAAAACAAACAGTGGGTCACATATGCAGTTATATCTGCAAATACACGTATGTTGCTTCAGTATAGAACGCAATAAAACAAGCGTTCTGACCGATACTTCTGAACCAAAACTCGATAAGAACATGGAGATGCAATCCGGCTATGGATCCCACAAAGATAAGCATGGTGTCATGAAAAAACAATCTTTGCCAAGCATTTTCATGTAGTACATAACAAACAGTAACAAGCTCAATGAAAAGGACCACACAAACAAACAAGGGTACAAAAATTTAGTACAGCATGGGAATTATTACATACTCTGTACATTGGCATAGCTGCACTCCAAATCACAACCGTCTTCGTCGTCATCATCCTCACCGTGACCGTCACGTCCCTCGTCGTCGTCTTGGAACGGAGGGTCCAATACAGAAACAGGACTGCATTGTTCCTTCTCTTCCTCCTCCTCCACTTCTGCTTGGGACTTCTTCAACCCCTCCTCCTGTTAACACATCAAAACCCTAATCAAAACACTAATATGTAATTAAGTAATAACATAACAATTTAGGTTAAATCCCAGATCCGTAATTGCATGGCCGATTGACTTTTCTTATAAATTTTAGAGAATGTGTCTGACCAACAACAGAAAGTACATAATTTTTCAAATGTCGGGACTCCATGATGGGATCCAACACAAAAATATACAAGGCCAAATTTGTCTTTTCCAATCAAATAATATTACTAGACAGTGTCTTACGACAAAGAGATTTACAATGCAGCACATACATACAAAAAGTATACACTTGTTGATCATACAAATTGACACATATAACCCTCCAATCTGCCTAAATTTCCAACCCCAAATCTATACAAAATTGATCATGTTGCCGACAATTCTGTATGTTCCCCAGTGAGTTGACTCGGACCGTCGTTAAGCAGACCGAGTCCCCAGCTCGGTGTCTAAATTATTCAGTCATGGCAATAAACAACAGAGTTGGTAAAAGCCAAAGAAAAAGACAAACCTCTTGTTTGTGGCGACTAGGGGACGTCACCGAGGACGTGAACTCCGGCGTCCGGCTGCCGGACGGAGAGGGGGTTGGTTGGAGGACGAAACGGAAAGGGCTTTCGCAAAAAGCATTAAGCTTTTCACAATTACAAGCATAATCTGTATCGGCTGTGTCCTCAGACTGGCTGCAGCTGCTTGAAGTGGCTTCATTGGTTTCGGACCAGACCGCACTGCTGGGCCTCCTAGTGCTTATCAGAGAAGCACTTTTGTCCTCAACTTCCAAACAAGACTCAACCTTTTCCTCCACCTGATCGGAAGAAATCTTTCTCCTCCCGACTGACGAATCCCACCGGAGAATGTCATTCACCGAGACCTGAACCCCATCTTCGCCGTGGACTTCCCGCCTTCGGGCCCGATTCCGATTCGTTAACCTCTTCAAAAACGACCCGAATAGCCCGAACCCGTGATTTTTGTTCTGGGTTTTTAGTTTAGAATTCGCCGACTGCTTCTGAATCCTCATCGCGGCTTCCACGAGCAGGGCCGCGGTTCTGTTCGGAATTTGGAGGAAGATGGCGTTGGGGCTTTTACATGGGCTTTTGGCCGCTGGCGACGAGAAGTCAAAGAGCGGAGATTTCCTAAGGTCCGGCGAGTCTTGGAGGGAGAAAAAGCAGGCGTTTTTGCAGAGACTGCCGGGAAAGTTTGAAACTTGGGAGATGGGTCTGCGTTTTTTTACCTGTAAGTTTTGTTGGCTCTTGGTGGAAGCACTTTTCAGCTGGCAGCGTTTATCGGCAATGTAGTTCTTGAGCAGAAACGGCTCCTGGTCTTCTCTTAGCAGCTCGTGTAAGTGCTTCTGTGCCGCCATGTTCATCTAAAAAAGCTTGCAGCTTTCAAATGGGATTTTTGTAAAAAAACGGATTAGTGTAACAAATTAAGCAAAAACAGATTTTGGACGACAACTTTCAGCTGCATCAAATCAAAAGGTAGAAGAGGTTTCAGCTTTCAAAAGAGGGAGGTTTTGAAGGGTGAGAAGATGGAAGCTAATATAGGAGGATAGAGAGAGAGAGAGAGAGAGAGAGAGAGAGAGAGAGAGGAAGGAATGAGGAGACTTCATGATTCAAATCTGAAGGGAGAAGGGGGTAGAAATCGAGGCTGCGATGGTGATAAGCGAGTTATTATAAAATAATGGGAAGAAATAAATACGGGTCAAATATTGAAAAAGAGTAAATTCTGTAAATTCTCCGTTACTTCATATTTTTGCATAATATTTTACATTATTAGCATGCAAATTGTACAAAATCATGAGATATCAGAAAGTTCATAAAGAATCATATTTCATTTATAAAGGAAATATTACATTTTTAACTTATATGAGTAACGAAACCGTAATACATTTGTTTTTAGTTTGAATGTTCGATACTTAATTAGTGATTGATTCCTTGTTTAAACTAGTTAAAGTAATATAAAAAGAGATATAAATATAGTAAAACAGCGAATTTTAACGAAAAGCTTTCGGTACTGTTCACTTTAACGAAAAATCACATTTTTATACTAAAAAGTTAATCTTGATACTATTCATTTTACCATTTATTTTATCTTTATTGTTAAAACTCAAAGTTGTTAAACAATTTTTATTAAGTTTTTATAGTAAAATATCTGTGTGAAAAAATAAAAATTAATAAAGAAAAAATATGGTCACAAATTGGTGTCAGCAGCAGAGCAGTGAGAGAGTAGGGAATAGGATCCGGTTTGGAGGGTGAGTCTTTCTACGCATCTCACTCACCAGACCAACAAATTTATGTGTCTGCCAAAATTACTTAAAAATACCAATTTGTTTACACAGTTTGTCCAAAATCCAAAATATACAAATACAAATTGTACATCGTATGTCTCCTCTTTATTTTGTCACTTACTGGTATTCTATAGGGTTACTTTGGCATTTGCCTCCAAATTTTTGAGTTTCCATTTTGGTTCTTCAAACTTTTTTTTTTGGTACTAAGTTGGTCACTACTGAAAAGTAACGGATAAAAACAAAGTAACTTTCATTACAAAATTTGATATAATGTTACGTAACTACTTTTGAAGGGCATTTTAGTAACAGAACTACTTTGACCAAAATATCTCCCATTGAGGATATGTGACGTTTATGTATAAGGTATTCATCTATCTTTAAAAGTTAAAACAGACAAAACCAATTCAGCTCGAAGCTAAATTAGCACTAAAATCTAACGAACCAAAAAAAACTTGTTTTCATTTTTAGAACATCAACAATAGTCAACTTGTTCGAACAGTATGATTTCAATAAGATATTATACGTGTCGTTATTTAAGTATTCATCTCGATATTCCATAGTTTCACGAAATTCCTCATCAAAATAGATCCCTATTCCCCTCTTATTTTGTTTCTCAAACAACCTTTTAACCTACTCAATATATATCTCATGTCTCTGTTTTCAATTTGTAGAAACTGTGGCGGTTTGGTGTTAGTCTGAGAAAGTTTCTCTTCAAACATACTAGACACCATGATCCATTCTAACTAAAACCTAGGCGAAACTGAATTGCAACCATTCAATAATTTTGTTAACTTTCGAAACTGGCATCATTGTTGTTTTCATTGAATTACATGTTTACAATTTAAGTTACTAAATTGAGACCAAAAGGTTGAAGGCCAAAGTGGAGAACCCAATAGTTGAAGGTGCAAATATGAAATTAACACAAGAATCCCGAGAGGAAGAGGAGAGGAGGCAGCTGCCTGCCTGTGCAGTGCTGTGCAAGAACCCGGTCAGGTGAAGGTTTCCGCGTACCTCAGTTGCTTTCTCTCTAATTTTAACCCATGTTTTTTTTTAATTGGAGAGAATAATATGTTTTTTTAATTTGGTCAAAATCTAGCTTCCACCTTGTTACAATGATAGCAGTTTATGAGGGCAAAAAGTTTACTATGTTTCACCTTGTATGAGATGAACAAAACAAATGGGGAGCTGAATGTGTTAGCAAGAATCTAACGACTAAAGATTTTGATAAATATAGCAAACACTATTGATTACCTCACTCATCAGATGATCATATTGGTTGTATACAACATATTCTCCACACAAAAATTTTATGGTGCTTTGAAGTATCTCCGTACTTACTATTAAATCTTAATTTTTATGCTGTTCAAAATTATAATTGTCAAAAAATCTAAAATATCTAATACTATAGAACACCGTAAAAAAAATCTCATTCTCCGCATAGGATACACTACAGGCACTTCCAATATTGTGATCCAAGTTTATTACATAAAATAATATTTTTGCGTTTGAATTCAATGTGAACTCAACGAATTTCACAACTATATATTAAACTCAAAATACTGTATAAATAGGGTCATCATAATCAAACCCGACCAATATATAGGAATCAAACTCATGAAATTCGATTTAGTGAGTCTTATGGCTGGTTTGGTATTGCTGTGCTTTGAAAAAAAATTGCTGTGAGAATAAGCAGCTGTGCTGTGAGAATAAGCGGCTGTGAAATAAAGCCAGTAGAGTGTTTGGTAAACTTTTTTGTGAAAGTGCTTTTGGAAAAAAAATCAGGATGATAGTGTGTCTTTTCATTAAAGGAGCACTGTAGCTCCGTGTGCTTTGAAAAAACTGGCTTTTTTTCAAAGCAGCAAATAGCAGCTTCAGCTTTTCCTTTGATTTTCAACTTATTCTCACAGCAGCTTCCAAAATAAGCCATTTTTTTCAGTTTACCAAACACAAAAATGACCCTCAGCTTTTTTTCACAGTGGCTTTTTTTAAAATCACCTCAATCCCAAACAGGGCCTTAACCACTTACTTTTTTATGGGTTTTGAAATTGATCTTCCATCCATACCTACCATTGGCAGATACATTGCAAAGGAAAACAGCTTGCAGTTGAGGCAAACATTTGGAGATAGGCTTTGGAGGTGCGGTGAAAGGCTGTGAGTTTACGACAACAAAACGGAAAGGCCCTGCCTTCGGCCACTGTTGTTTACTTTTAGCAGCGCACAGGTGCTTGTACTCTACTACCCATAAATGCAGTCCCATTACTCCATCCTCACTTTACAGCTGGACACGTAGTATTCACATAATAATATAACACACCATCCATTGACGGTCCATTCCTAGATCTCTCCAAATCTCTGTGTCCGTTACTAACAGATTCAGAGATTCGAACTATTTATTTTAAATCATATGGCTTTTATTGGTCTATTCTTCTGATTTTTTTGATTTATTGATTTTGGAGAGCGAGATCCGAAGAGAATTTGAATTCCCTTACCTATGGTCCCAAGTTATGATATGTGACGACGAATTGGACTAATCAACCACCTTAAATCCATCAGTCTTCTCTTTTCTTTGTCTTTTAACGAACTAATCATCAATCACATAATTTGTAAAGGGAAATCGACAACAAATCTTCTGTAAAACAATGAGTTACAGCGTAGCAAAACTGTGTGATGAATTTGTAACCACTCGTAAGGTTTTTTAGGACATTTTCAATCGGAATAGGTAAATATAATTCTGTTCAAAATTATAATTCTACAAAAAATTATTTTTAAATAAATAATGTCATGTCATACTCGTATATCATATCTAATTGAATGAGTTAAACATAGTCATCTCAATAATTTACTAGTTTTAAGTTTGTACTTTAAATTTATTGTTATTTTAATTAAACTACCGTTTGGTGTTTTTAAATATAGCGCTTTAATTCAAATCAATTATTACAACTGAAGAGGTGGATCCAAAAAGGGCGAAGATGGAGGTTACATTGGGCCAGTATGTACCCTTTTGTCCAAATAATAACATGGTGAGCTTCATAAAATTACAGTCCTTTTATCGATTGGAGATGAATTTTAAACAAATCAGACTATTTTTTTAACTTTTGTATCTTTAATCATCTTCATTGAAGATGATCTTACTTTAACCCTGTTAAAGACTTGACAGTACAACTATACAAAAAGTTGAGCCCACAACTTTTTGCTAATTATAATTAAGGTTTTTATGACCGAAACAACTATGCATGTTAACTATGATCATGGCACCGTCACTTATTGCTACTGTTTGTAGCTATTTATCTACATTTGTAAGTAAAAAGTAAGAATGAATTTCGTAAATGACGAACTAATAATTTATTTATACCTTCGTTTTTTAGTGTAAATACATTGGTGTAACAAAAAAAAAATATAATGTTGACATCATATAAGTTAAATTGTAATTTGGGGAGCAGTTTCAATTTGAATACAAGGGGTAGAATCTAGAAAGGAAAAAAAAAATACAGAGGATCAATTTCGATCTCAACTCTTACAATCATACAGTAAAGAGTATAATTGTTCTTGGTAATTAACTCACCCTGTGTCAACGCCATAAATTAAGAGCATGGCAGCCGTCGATTCCGATTACTTTACATTTTGACCTTCAAAAAGGGAGAGAAATTTACATGTCACTGTCATGACATTTTGTGCCAATGATCCATGCCTTATATATATAAAAAAAAAAAGAGAAGATAAATGCTAAAGAGATTATTTCAAAATGGAACTCTCCACCACTTTATGTTTTTGCACAAAATTTAATAGTGTTGGCACGAAGAATTGTACAAAAAACATGAGGTGTCAAAGAGTCATGTGTTTCCCTATAAAAAAATTTATGTACTTTTGTATGCACAAAACTTTGTGGTTATAATCGACATTATTTATATTATAAATTATTTCGTAAATAATTATCTTTATGAAAAATCATTTAAAATTAAAGTTGTTTAGTTAGCAAATAGATAGTTAGTTCATAACTTTTTTACCCAATTTCTTCATCTATTTTCATATAATTCGCTGATTAAACGACCTCATATTTAATTGATTTTTTTAAGAAATAATTTTTACAGGTGATTTATAATATAAACAGTTTCAATCGTAAGTATGAAGTTCTTGAATAGGTCACATAGATAATTAAAGATGAACTTGGAGCCAAGTTAATTTCTTTTTGTATTTCTGATTTATGGAACGCCATATTAATAGTATAAAAAAACTAATGAAAAATATTTGAAAACTTTGAGTTTTAACGATAAGGACAAAATAAAATGTAGAGTGAATAGTACCATAATTGACTTTTTAGTGTAGAAATATAATTTTTCCTTAAAATAAACAATATCATAAGCT